CAGGGGACCCTTTGAGAGAAGTAGTCGCCTCTTCCTTGTAGTGGAGATAAGTGGCAGCGCTGTGAAGTGGGCTCTTTGGGTCGGCGAGAGCCGCGGCAATGGCTTCAGGAGTAGCAAGAGCCGCCTTCTCCTTTGGAGTGGGCTTGAAGAGGAACTGGTCAGGGTGGCTAGGGTCTTTTGCAAGCTTGTGAGTCGGGTCGAGGAGTTCATGAGCAGGCTTGGGACCGGCGGCTCCCTTCTCGGAAGCTCCAGCAGCGGGAGGGACAGCGTCAGCCTTAGGGTTAGTCTCAGCAGGTGCTCCGGTGTGGTCGGGAGTGTTAGCAGGGGGCGGTGCAGTGCCAAGTGGCTTTTGCTCAGGGGCCTAGAAGTACGAGCCACTTAGCTGAAAGTAGGTACAGTGATCATAATAGCAAACTTACGGCAGCAGCATCACGAGCCTCAAGGTATTCAAGGTATTCCCGGGCCTCTAGGTCCATAGCACCGAGGGCACGAGCGTCAAGGGCAGAGTCAGCACGAGTTTGCAAGTACATCTCGTAAAACTCGCGGGCGGAGAGATCGGCGACCTCACGAGTATCGATTTCGTACTCGACATTGCGGGGGGCAAGAGGGACAGCGAGCGCACCAGTGACGGCAGCAGCGAGGAAAGCGAATTTGGTGGTGAATTGCATGTCGAAAATTAGATAAGTTTGGAGTAGACTGAACGAAAGTGCAGTCAGTCAATCCGGTGTACGTGGACGAGACATGACGAACATACCTCTAAGGGAATTCGATAAGGAGGTGATAAAGATTGTTCTAAGGACCAGCCTAAGACTATAATCAAGAAGGTCAGTCATTAGATGAGGGAAAGGAAGAGAAGGATATCGCACAGATGTGTGTTTGTGTGAGAGAAGAGCACCAGGCTTGGGGGGAAAAAGAAGGCAAAGAGCGCTGGCTTTTATACCAATTGACACACAGAATCCGATTAGCTGAAATCCCAGGATTTAGCTGACGTAAATAGCATGAGTTATTCGCTGGCAGTGCTATGTACCGGCAATGAAGTCGTCATCTTCGGTGGATTGAAGAGTCTCCACATAGTACCTAGTACCCTGGGCCGTCAAACTATCGTGGGATTACAGGGTCTTGCAATGTTTTTAATTTAGCCGAATATAGGGTCCGATTGGGATCGAGGAGCTTCACGGTATTGATAGATAATCGTAAACTAGCCCCGGACAGATAAGATCCTTAAAGTTTAAACTGAAGGCTCGTCAAACAAGGCTCTGGCATTCAAACGTTGCGCCGCGAATTTTTGTGGTGCAAGCCAAATTGCCAGACATTGTACCAATATGACATGTTACCGTCAATAAACTTAAATAAAAAACCTCTTCTCCCCCAGTCTATTAAAAAGATTGCCTGGCTAACAGGACTAGCATAACCCGACTTCGCTTGAAATCTTGTTGTGATACTTTCAAGCGGATAGGTAGCCCAACCATAACCAAAGAAAGGCATATCTGCTCACTCTTACAACTCTCTCAAACCGTCCGTAAGGAAATAAGTCACCTCAATAACGATTTACGATTGTGGGATCAAACTATCGAAAACATCGACTACAAATCAGAATGGAACCCTTACAAGCGGCGACGGACAAGCTTGGAGGAAGTCGAAGTAGGAGTGGAGGTAGCTTTCGGAGGGGCGGCAGCAGCTCCAACGGGATGAGTTGCAGGGGGTGTAGCCGCAGCACCCGCTCCGGTACCAGCAGCACTAGAGGGTGCGGCAGGGGGAGTTGAAGGAGAGGGGTTTTTGGCCTCCTTCTCGAGTAAGAGCTTCTTGTGCAGTTTTCTGCGGCGATGAATGCGCTCAGCAATCTTGTGGTAGCAGTGTGTCTTGTCAGCCAGAGCGTCTTTGTAGATGGCAGGGTCAGAGAGGAGTAACCTCCTGACAGCGGACCTGTGGTATTTGCTCTTCTTGTTCTCCAAGGCTTCCTCGAAATGCGCCTTGTCATTGAGGTAGCGGTGCACAGCTTCCCTGTGGTACTTGTTCTTCTTGTGCGACAGGGCTTTGGCATAGTCGGATGGGTTTTCGAAGTACTTCTCGGCCTCTTGGCGATGATTGTAGCGCTTGGCGTCCTTGTAGAGAGGGTTTTTCTTGTCCTTGAGCGCAGCTGCTAACTTGGTCTTATCAGCGAACTCCATACCCACCGCTAACCTGTGGAGGTTGTTGGTCCTGTCAGCGAGTGCGGCCTTGTAGAGCTCAGGAGACTCCTTGAGAGAGGTAGTCGCAACTTCCTTGGCGTGGAGATATTTGGCAGCGCTGTGAAGTTTGTTCTTTGGGTCAGCGAGAGCCGCGGCCATGGCTTCAGGACTGGCCAGAGCCGCGTTCTGCTTTGGACTGGGCTTGAAGAGGAAATGGAGAGGGTGGGCAGTTGCAGCTTTGTGGGTAACGTCTTTGTGGGTAACGTCTTTGTGAGTAGCGTCCAGGACATGAGCAGGCTTGGTGGTACCGTCGGCCCCCTTTTCGGAAGCTCCTACCGCGGGATGGACAGTGTCAACCTTAGGTTTTGTCTCAGTTTTTATCTCAGCATGGACTTCGGTGTGACTAGGAACGATAGCAGTGGGCGTTACAGTGGTGCCTAGAGGCTTTTGGACGGCGGCCTACGAATACAACCCACTTAGCCAAAAATAATTAGGCGATCATGATAGCAGACTTACGGCAGCAGCCTCACGAGCCTCGAGGTATTCGAGATATTCTCGAGCCTCTAAGTCCATGGCGCCGAGGGTACGGGCGTCAAGTGCAGGGTCAGCACGGACTTGCAAGTACATCTCGTAAAACTCGCGGGCCGAGAGGTCAAGGACCTCACGGGTGTCAAGTTCGTACTCGACATTGCGGGGTGCAAGAGGGACAGCGAGTGCGCTAGCAACGGCAGCAGCAAGGAAAGCGAATTTGGTGGTGAATTGCATGTCGAAAATTAGATAAGTTTGGAGTAGACTGAACAAAGTGCAGTCAGTCAATCCGCTTTACGCAAGACATTGAAGAACATACGTCAGACGGAATTCGATAATGAGGTGATAAAGATTGATTCTAAGGACCGGCCTAAGACTATAATAGAATCAGTCATGAAAAGAGGTAAAAAAGTGAAATGACAGAAATCCCACAGTTGTCTGTTTGTGTGTGGGAGAGCACCAGGCTTGGAAAGAAACGAAAATGGAAAGAGCGTTGGGTTTTATACCTGAATCCGAGTATTTGAAATCCCAGGATCTAGAAAACGTAAAAACGCCATTGATCGCATCAGTTATGCGCTGGCAGTACTACTACCGGCAAGGAGTCGAATTTGTAAACCCAACTTTTTGCCTCCTCACAAGTCGAAACGGCTAATACAGACATATGAATAAATTTTATTATTACTGTATCGATACTTTGTGATATGTGTTTATAAATGAAGGTTGCGCAGCCTTAGTTTAGTCAGCGACGCATATCACGGCTCCAATATTACGAAATCTAACTAGTAACTCAGGCTCATCATCATGCGGGCGGTGATCAACTTTGATTGATCCGAATATATAAAAAAACGGCATTCCAAGGCATGTTACAGAGAGGTCTCGTATCCCAATGTATCTAACTATCAAGCACGATATTTAGATGAGCTCATTAAGGATAGGATATACCACCTTGCTATAAGGCAAGGTTTGCCCTGAGCCCATTTACCGTGATATAAAACAAATGAAATACAGGGGAGATGTTGTAAGTAGAAAATCTTGGCATCTGACATATGTTCCCGTTGTCAGCGCTGATCGCCATGGTGACGTGTTTCAAATCTCAAAACCAGGGATCTGTAGGGTTTTGGGTGTTTAGAGCCTAGAGGACATCCCATCCCCACTTGGATTGCCGGATTTCAGCAATCATCACATTTGCAACCGAAAAGGTCTGGGGTTGCAGGCAAAATGCGGCGAGTCACGGCGATTCTCGGCATTCTTCGGCATAATAGAGTATATATATTCAGAAACTTACTTTCACGCTCTGTGTGCCCTTATACATGTTCAACAGTTTTTTGTTCAAAGTGACCAAATTAATCAATGAACAGTAAATGCAAGAATAGATGTATGTACAACATAGCAAGTCTATTCTACGGCAATATCATATCTTGTTGGAATATGAGGAGGCTCTCTCCATGGTGATCGATTGTCATCATTTTATCATCAAAGAGACGACTGTCCCATGCACTGCCAAGCTTTCCATTCTCTTGGCAGTTAAATATCTTACTGAGTCAGCAACTAAGCTAGTAGTTTCTGTTGTACCAGGTTGTAAACTGGTTGTAACCCTCAAGAGCCCACGTTGGCCCCACGAGGTCAAACGATATCGTTGATTTCAACGTTTCTTTGAGGTCCACTTATTTTTAGAAACCGATATCCGCCTTATGTAAACTGACTTCATCCAAGTCACGAATAACTTGAACCTTTACGATGGACCACAATAACTACAGATACATCGCCATCACTTTCTCGCCACATTCCCTATATTACGATCATCCTTCAGGCATTACATCTATACATCCATCGCTCGGCTATTGTGGTCAAGTGGGAGAGTTTTCCGATGTTCATCTGCTTAGCATGCCAAATGCAGATTGGTTGCGAGACGGCAATGCTGTATTACAGCGATTGATAGGGAGCGATGGAGTACTGCACGTGGAAGTCCAGGTCTTGGAGACGAGGAGCAAGCGACATATTGAGGAGTTGTGACACTTGGATGACCGGCCGTTTAGACCCCCTAGTAATGTAACCCCTCCTTTTCACAAAAATGCGTACTTAGAACGTAAGTACTTTAGAGAGGAAATTAAAAGGCATCGGTCCTGCTCTTGATTCAGAACAATTATATTTTCTCAAGCACCTTCCATGAATTTCATCATACATCCCACCTGTGCATTTCTCATTACGCAAGCTGTATTCATGGGAAAAGCTTCCCTGCAAGTATGACTTCAGTCAGGTCCGAGACGTCCGTTATATTTGACAATGGAATAATAAAAAGGCAGCTGCCCCCTGCAAGGTTCGAACTTGCGACCTCAGGTTTGCGTAACGATTCGTTACTCATATCATGATATGAGACCTGCGCTCTAACCGACTGAGCCAAGGAGGCGTTAGGATAAATTTGATGCGCCATCAAGTCCATCAGTGATGGCGTTTCAAACGTTCAAGCTCAACTTGGTCACGGTAATGCTCTTGAACTAAAAACAAGAATGGCTTTCTTTCCTTGGATTACTCAACAGCAGGTTCTTTTGGACAAAACGACACGGACTGACACGGTGTTCCAATATCATGAAAGTGCATCATCGATCAGGTTACAATCGGATTCTGATCAAATTGTGGCACAAGGCTCGGCGCTATAAATAACCTAAGTTAAAATCACATCTTTTCTTCCCAATACTTCGCCACTATCCCACTTGGTAAGTGAGTGAAATCTTACGGTAGGTCAACTTCGCAGTAACTGAAACTACTCAGATCGATTCGAAAAGAAAGGATCATACATTATTTGATATTCATGGATTTCTCGAAGGATCTCAACATTAACGACGGCCACGCATCTGGTCCTTCCCCTGCTGCTGCCGCTCCTGAGGACGTAGCGCCGACGCGAGAGCTGTTACACGAAGGTCTTTTTGACAAAATTAACGACGCGCTAAACAGAGTTCCTAAATCCAAAAGTGGTAATGCTCGACCTCCTAAACCTATAAGCATCCTCGATAAAATTGGCGGACATATCATGTCTAGTGCTGCTGCTGCTCCCACGCCGCCCCCGACTGCCTCCCTCAAGCAAGAAAGTTTCTTAGACAAGATAGGGGATGCGTTACAGCAGATTGCGATCCAATCTTCTCTCTCAACGGCCCCTCCAATAGCGAACGATGAGCCGGAAGGTTTGTATGATAAAATTGGAGATCTATTGCATGGAGGAAACGAGACTGCCACTCTGCCGGCTCCGGAGAAAGACGAAGGCTTGTTAGATAAAGTTGCGGATGATATTATGGGTAAGAAGGACGAACCACCTGCGAAACCTGATGGACTATTGGAGATAGATCCTGCGCTTGGAGGCGAAGCGGCTGCGGAGAAGAAGGAAGGTGAGCCCAGCAATATTACTATGATGTAATAAAAACTGTACGCACGAAAGCTTACGCGGAAATCACCTACAGATAAAGGTGGGCAAGACATACTATTTTGCCTCGCTTACTGTACTTCTTGATCATATATTAATCCCGCAGCTATTAACCCCTTCCAAGAATAGCATATGCTCAAGGACGGTCCTCAGGATCATGAATCGACATTCGAGGCAGGCTGAGGATTGCAATGACCAGAAGTTAGTTTGAAAAGGTGACTAGCCATGGGAAGAAGTGCTAAATGACGGTTAACTGGTCCTCTTCTTTGTCCTCCTATACATGATTTTCTTGTTTTACATGTATTATTACCTAGCGTCAGACCGATCATGACGATTACTGTCGAAATACGAACTTGGGGTGCAAATTTTGGCATTGTCGAACTTCAAGCTGTCTATTGAAAAAAGAAAGGCAGGTAGACAAGATGGGAATAAAAGAGTGTTGAATGGATTGGTGTGATTGATATTGAAGATGGTGTCGTACAACGACATTGACGAACTTATGTAGCATGAACTTGCATGCGTGAATTTTTTTTGGGGGGGGTGTTATACATCCCGGCCGTCCAAGGCGGAACGTAGTCTAATATCAAAAGCTTTCTTCTTTCAGTCATCGTCATTTTGGCTTTCGCCCTCGCCCTCGTCCTCGCCCTCGTCCCAGGTAGCCAGCTAGACCTTACAAAGCCGAAAACAAACAAAGATGGAGGTAGGGTGATTTACTCGTCGGCAGCAGTAACAGGTGTATGGGTAACCGTCCCCATCTGCATACGTTGGTGCGACTGAGTTAGTTGGTGGTGAAATCTTTCTTCACGAGTGATAGGGAGCTCGTCTGGGTCTCTGAGGAAGTTGGAAGCGGGGAACGAAGACGTTATGGCAACGTCATGGTTGAAGTAAGTGACACCTCGTCCCATGAGCCTGAGATTGCTGCTGCCAGAGGTAGAGATTGGAATGGGCCGTGCCAAACCAGAAACGATGCCAAGAATGACGAAGTTGACGGTGAAGATAAGGAAGGATTTGTACGACATGCTTGTGGTAGTTCGGTAGTTGTTTAGCGTGAAGTTGTGTTTGAGTATCACGTCGATGAAGTTGGATACGACGAAGTGATGCAATTGAGGGGGAAAAATAGCTGATGGGAATGCAGAAGAGGGTCTCGTCAAGAGTTATAAGCAACGCTGAAAAAGAAAGACGCGAATGTGGTACAGGAAGTAATTGCGGAAAGGGACGGAAGTAAAAAAGGAATACAAGTCAGCGTAAAAGGCGCATTGCTTCCTCAAGCTGGCACCTTTCCGTCGTCAACCTGCTTTGCACCTGTGCACAAAACGTCGACGTCTCCGCGGGCAATGGCTCCAGCGATACTCATGCTCAAGCTCCAAGTTGACATTCTGAAGGAGTAGGTTTAATGCAAAAATTGAAGCCCACCAGCATCATGGCCAGGTGATACATATATTCAAATCCATGCCTCCAGAGGGTGATACGGACAGAAGTATTGCAAAGAGGAAGTCGACTTGGATAAGTTGTGATGGAGAACTTCAAGAAGTTTGCGAAGCGTGGATCCACCATCGATAGAACCTTGCAGCGGTCTATATTATCTCCTAGGACCAGTCGGTGCACACAAATCAGAGACGAATCCGCAGGAAGATTCTCGATAGTCCTAAAAGAGATGAAGCAGAAAGGACTGAAATATGGCGGGAGGACTGATATCTTCGCAGCACTGCGGAGTCAGGACAAGAGTAGGTCCATGGTGGTGAATTGGATCAAGAATTGCAATTCGCCAAACAAGCCCGGAAGCCCACCAGAGCCCACGTGGACGTACTCTCTTTCCAAACCATCTGGGAGAGCCGGCAACATATAATGGAAGACTGAAGCGAGCAGTGAGGACCGTTAAGTTCAAAGAAACAGGGGTCGTCAAGGTGACGATCTGTCAACTGTGGGTATCTTTACGGCAATCGCATCAACAGTCTTGGTGGATCAGAAGACGTTTCTTGTGTTTAAGCAAGCTCTCTTTATAGATGACTTGTAGGCCAGTAGGCATTTTAACACGATACAATTTGAATACCAGCCCCTTGAGTTATTGAAATCAAGGAGAAGGCGGCACAGAATTATAACGGGTAGCCTTAGAAATCTTGAAGGAACAAGGATCAATTTGAAGCATTAATAAGCGTATTCGAGGATCCAGAAACAAAGTTTTCCCTAGGTAAGAGCGAAAGTGGATGCTGGAAGTCCTCTTCATCAGCTATTCAGATCGGTGGCAGACTTCTGGGGTGGAAGAGTTATCTGCCTCGACCAGAATCATCTACGTTCAGCTCCCCAGGGGGGCATGGGGGATGATGGAGAAGAGCATGGAGAAGAGCATGCGTGTTGTTGTCGGTCATGGTTTTCGACAAAGCAAACTTTTTGGAATTCCGCAAGGGCGTCTAGGACTTATACCCTCCATGAATCGAGAAGATTCTTGTTGTTCCGAAGAGTAAGTCGTGGCTTGTCTGGTCCTCTCCCTGGATTTCGCAGTTGTTGGACTACTTCACTTCAGACACTCTGTTACAGCAGCACGATCGCCAAATTTTTGTAAAGTCTTCAGGGCTGTATCAAGAAGCGAACGTGTGACCTGCGCGCATATAGATACGTGATAACAGACTAGGGATTGCAGAACAGCGGGGCAGGCTTGGTCAAGATCACCAAGAAATTCTCGGAGTGCTTCTTGAACAGAAGTATTTGAAGTCTCGGACCGGGAGCCTGGGATTGCAAAAACGACATCTCCCGTAAGACGAAGAAGATAGGTTATTCTGAAAGACCTATTGGTGACAAGAGGAGATGCAAGAGGAGATGCCTGTTGCTTCCAAGTAAGCAGGAAGTGTCCTGATCGTCGCGGAAATATCAGAACTGGAGGAAAAAAACTATAAGTCTGGTAGCGACTATTAAGAAGAAATATAAACTGACCGCCTTTTCTAGTTGGGAGTCAAGCGCGTCTGCCAGCGCCCACAAAGAATAAATGCCGTAATTTGCTTTTACATAAATATTGCTAGAGACTAGGCTAGGTTTTGCATTACCGAATGAAGATCGACCATCTATGATCTCTGCTATTAATGTCGTCAGTTTAGTTGGGAGAGGAGTAAGCTGACGTACCGCGTACTTCTTCAAGCTGTTCCATCATACTCACGTCTTTTGTCTACCGTAAGACTTTGCAACATTCCAATTGCGTTAATATTCACCGCCGGTTAATAGCCTAATCGTTCTTTCACTGGTTGCATTTAGCCGTGTTGTGACCATAACAAGAAGCTAGTTGAAAATCTAAGTTGCTCGTCAAAATTTCACTGAGATAAAGAGGTAAAATAAATACCTCGCATATCCACATTGCGTGCCACCCACCAACCTTCCTTGGTCCACCGAATTAGACGTTGGGTTGCAAATCCTCCATTTAATATTTCCTGACGGCAAGTGCAGAAAGTCATCTGATTGATAGTACTTTATTTCATCCAACGTCCTGTGACTGGAAATGATAGCAAGTCTCTGGAAGAGTTCGGTTAGCTTATATTTTGTTCCAGTATAAGGAAGGATGAGAATATACAACTTGAACAATGTCTCGACCGGACCTGTGCTCAAACCAACTCGAGAATTGAATACGCCCTTGAGGTACTGCCGTCATGACTATGATTCAACACGAGAAGCCGTCCAGGAAAATGAATAGTCAGAATTAAACCCCAATGTCATGGTCGATGGAGAGTCAGAAAGACTGGTAAGCGAGCGATGCAAAATACAAATTGGATCCCCGCTCACCCTGTGCACCAAAGTCGCCCGCTTCTAGACGGCCAGTGAATATTAACGCCACGCCCAACGGATTGTTATCGTATTTTTCACCGTAATTTCATCGAACGCTAAAATGTCTGACTCTCAAGATATGCGAATTCCAGATGCCACAGGGGGTGAAGAAATACTGCAACCGACATCCTCGAATTCATGGTATCACGCACGACCTTCAAGCTTCAAGTCGCGGGTTCAGACCA